CTCCTAGTTCTTTTTCAGCTGATTGTGGACAAGCACATGTTAACTCCTGTAAAATAAAGCACTCCCAGTGTCTCCCCTGGGATGTCACATCACCAGGTTGGGCCCCAGCAGTGCCAAGGTGGAACCCCCCAAGGACACAGGGACAGGGGCAGGGCAGGCTCCAGGCTTCACTCTCCAAACCTCCCATTCCTCAGGGTCTGAGGAGCAAAACATAATTCTCTGCTTCCAAGTTCTCACTAACTTCAGTTCATTTTATGTTTTACTTCCGTCACTGTTAATGATCTCTAGAACATTAACTTGCAGCCTCTGACTGATTTTGGAGAGGTTATTTTGAGGCTTTGGTGGAATTTTAATTAATTTATAAGGATCCCATTACTAAATGAAATTGTTTTCTATTGTTAGCTTTGTCAGCCCTTGCTCTTGTCACGGCCCTGTTCATGAAAGCTCAAGCCATAGAGAACCTTCCACATAACCTCAGCATTTCCACAGCCACCTTCAGCCTCTTCCTACTCAGGGATCCCAAGTACAAACTTTCCAAAAACCCTCTTATTCCCTGAGAACAGAGTAAGCCTTTTGGGAAGGGGTTCTGGACTCCTGAGTGTCCACAGGGCAAAGAGAGGTGGATTTTGCCTTCTGTACCCCTAAATCATGAGGAAGGGTGAATAGGGAATAACAAAATAGTGGAAAGAGATGCAAAGATGCTTCAAAAGGAGAAATGGAAGCCCAGCAGGCTGCTGTAAAGCAGATGCAGTGAGCAGACTGCTGCAAGCCAGAAGGCACTCACAGACACGGGGCTTATCAAACACTGAAATCAATTTTACTACAAGGTGGGAGCAAACAACAAACCCCAAATCCCAGTCAGCTGCAGTGTCCTGCTCCCAGACCCACGCCTCACCCGCTGCCTTTCTCCTCTCCACAAGACCCTTGTTTTCCTCCTTTTGACCCCAGTTCCTTCATCCAATTTTTTTCCAACCAGTCTGCACTTCAGCTCTCCTCTTGCACCTCTCCCACCTTCTCCCTACCAGCTTCCCACACCTGGCACCCCTCAGGCTCTGTCCCTGTCCCTGCTTTGCTTCCAAGAGGTTATTCATGGTTGTACTGGCCACAAGAATCCAGAACCTGCTGCCTCCCACCCTGCCCAAGCTGGTGGCCACTGCCCCAAAGGCAGGAGGGAGGGAGGAGGACCAAGGTGACCTGGCCCTCCTCTGGCACCTCTCCCAGCTTCTGCCCTACCAGCTTCCCACACGTAGCACCCCTCAGGCTCTGTCCCTGCTCCTGCTTTCCTTCCAAGAGACTATTCATGGTTGTACTGGCCAGATGGAACCAGAACCTGCTGCCTTCCACCCTGCCCAAGCTGGTGGCCACTGCCCCAAAGGCAGGAGGGAGGGAGGAGGACGGAGGTGACCCACAGCAGCGTCACAGGGACCACAGGCAGGGAGAGCAGTGTCCAGGGACCTACCAGCAGTGGTGACCAGCAGGCTGAGAGGACACACATGATGCCCAGGAGCTGGATGAGTGTCTCCATGGCGATCCGTCCCCACTGCTTGTTGGAGTGTGCGGCGCTGGCCTTGCTCCGACAGCGAGACACCAGCGCCTGGATGGTGGCCAAGTTACACACCATCGTCACCACCAGCGACAGCAGCCCCAGCACGGCGAAGGTGGCGGCAAAGATGAGACTCCCACTGAGCTGGCTGTCCCCAGTGCTGATGAAACACCAGGTGCCAGGCCACTGCAGGGTGTATTGCCCCAGCCCAGCCACGGGCAGGAGGGCGAAGGTGATGACGCCCAGCCAGATGCCGAGCAGCACCAGCTTGGTGACGCGTGTCTTCATGTGGCTGGCGTACCAGTGCGGCGCGCGGATGGCCAGTGTCCTCTCCACTGCCATGGCACTGGCTATGAACAGAGGGCACAGCCCAAACATAGTCATGCTGAAGCCAAAGAAGACACAGAGACGCCCTGAGGGATCCACAGCCTGCCAGGAGCGGTTGGCTAGATACACAGAGATGACGATGGGGCTGGTGAGCAGCTGCCCCAGCATATCGGTGAGCGCCAGCGAGCCGATGCACAAGAGAAACGACCTCTTCCTCCGGTTTCCCTTTGCCTGGTAG